TGGAGGACAGTTTTGAGTGCGTTAACACCCAGTTGAACGGGGAACGCACCCGCAAAATTTCAGTGCTCTAGCTTCTCGAATCCGCGAGATATGAACTCGCCCAAAAAAAAATTGGCGAGCCCGTACGCGGGTACCACGCTCACGCGGGGGATGGGTTTGAGTGCATTAACACCGAGTTGGACGGGGAACGCACCCGCAAGGTTTCAGTGCTCTAGCTTCTCAAATCCGCCAGATATGAACTCGCCCAGAAAAAAATTTGGCGGGCCTGTACGTGGGTACCACGCTTTCTCGGAGGCTGGATTTGACCCCACTATTACCGGTTGTGCGTGGAACATTAGCTCAAGATTTCAGCCCTCTAGCTTCTGAGGTTCCTGAGTTATGAACATACCTGAAAAGAATTTGGCGAGCCCGTACGCGGGTACCACGCTCACCCGGAGGACAGTTTTGAGTGCACTGACACCCAGTTGGACGGGGAACGCACCAGCAAGATTTCAGTGCTCTAGTTTCTCAAATCCGCGAGTTTTGAACTCGCCCAAAAAAAATTTGGCGAGCCCTTATGCGGGTACCACGCTCATCCGGAGGACAGTTTTGAGTGCGTTAACACCCAGTTGGACGGGGAACGCACCCGCAAAATTTCAGTGCTCTAGCTTCTCAAATCCGCGAGATATGAACTCGCCCAAAAAAAATTTGGCGAGCCCGTGCGCGGGTACCACGCTCAAGCGGGGGATGGGTTTGAGTGCATTAACACCGAGTTGGGCGGGGAGCGCGCCCGCAAGATTTCAGTGCTCTGGCTTCTCAAATCCGCGAGTTATGAACTCACCCAGAAAAAAAATTTGGCAGGCCTGTACGTGGGTGCCACGCTTACTCGGAGGCTGGATTTAGCCCCAGTAATACCCTGTTGCACGGGGAACATTACCCCAAGATTTCAGCCTTCTAGGCTCTCAGATCCCCGAGTTTGGACATACCTGAAAAAATTTTGGCGGGCCCGTACGCAGATGCCACGCTAACCCGGGGGCTGGGTTTGGCCCCACTGATACCCTGTTGCGCGGGAAACATTACCCCAAGATTTCAGCGTTCTAGATTCTCAGATTCCCGAGTTATGAACTCGCCCAAGAAAAGATTTGGCTAGCCCGTACGCGGGTACCACGTTTACCCGGGAGATCGTTTTGAGTGCATTAATACCTATTTAGGCGGGGAACACCTCTGTAAGATTTCATCGTTCTGGCTTCTGAGATCCCCAATTTATGGAGTTGCCTAGAAAAAATTTTGGCGGACCCTTACGCGGGTATCACGCAGGGAATGACGCCAACTTTAGCGATTGAGGCCGGCCCGTGCATGTAGATTATGTTCCCGATATTTCAGCCCTGCAGCTTTTATAGGTT